CTTTCCATCTTCTTTTAATACTTCCTGGATCATTTCATATTCTGCCGAAAGCATCCTTGATTATAGCAACTCAAGGTTTGAATTTGTTCTTCAGTTCCTTGAGCTTAAGATATGCTGAGCAAGTTCGGCCCTTTTGATTTTCTGACTCCAACTCCTTGCACATTTCATTGTAATATTTTGCTTTATATTAGAGGACCAAAGCAAAAACCAATCCAATTACTAATGAGTCAACATCACCTTATGGCTAGCCTATGTGTTACATAATGGACTGATACTGAGTACAGTTTTAAAACCTGTGAATTTTTGGAAGCAGGTTGTCAGGTGCCTCTCAGTGGACTCAAACTACCATTTTTTTAGTGAATATAACGCTTATCTGTACCACCTAGAGACTCCTATCTTAGAGGGCATTAATAATTTTATTTCATCTTAATCATCTTTATTTCCAGTAAAAGAAATGCTTGTTTATTTAAAATTATTATAACACTCTCTTCTTTGAAATTAATATAAACATTATACACACACACACACTTCTTTTTTTTTAATGCAGGAGAAAATTCTCAAGGAAAACCTCCTCCGGTTCAACTTACACCTGCTTTGGTGAGATCACCGTCTTCCCGAAGAGGCCTAAATGGGACCAAGCCTGTTCCTCCCATACCCAGAGGAATAAGCCTTTTGCCTGATAAAGCTGATATAAGCACAGTAGGACATAAAAAGAAAGAACCTGATGATACTTGGAAAAGTAAAAAAGGGAATCTTAAAATTGATCTTTCAGAATTAAATATCAAGGATAAAGATTTGGATCAAGAAGAGGTTAGAAATAAATATTTCTAATATTTTAAATATAATTTTATTTTCTGTATCAGAGCTAATATTTAAAGAAAAGTACTTTTAATCCTATGATCTTTTTTCTTTTTGAGAGTATTTCATATTTATTATAGAAAATTGATACTATACATTAATGAGTTAGTCACTCCAAGTCCAAGTAAAATCTTTCCTCAAATTTGTTTTCTCCAGCCCATTTTCTGGCAAGGAAATTCATTTAAAAGGGGGAAAAGAAAATAGAAGCACTTTCTACATAACCCTTTTATAAAATATCACCTGTTATATTCACAGTGTTTTTGTAATTTAGAAATAGCCTTTTTTTTTCAGTATGTAAATGGGTATTTAATTTCTTTGTCACCATTATTACTAAAAACAAAAGTTTCCCAACTGCAGCCTTTCAGGATTTCATAAGGAAGCGATAATACTACTAAATCAATAGTATAGTTAAGATGGCCTGCCCATACTCAAATCCAGTATATCTTTTATTTATTGTTTCATAAATTAATACAATTAAAAAAAAAACAAACCCGTTCATATTCTTTGATGTGAGTTAATTTAAAAAAGTAAAGCAAAGCATGATGCTTTTACGCTCCTTTTCTACTGCAGCATGCGATAAGGTCTGGTGTCTCACCCCCTCTTCCCTCTTCTTTCCTTTTCCTCTTTTGTATAACCTGCTTACAGTGGCTATACCTCTGTCTTAATAAATCTTTTTCACTTGTTTTACCAGAAAAATAAATAAAAATTTTTTAAAAGCATGACATACTTTATGACCTAGTAATGATTGTATTCTTATATCAGGAAGGAAAAGTACATTAAGCTAATTTTTCAATTCAATTTACTTTCTAAATGAGATCTCTTTTTTTATACTGATGTTTACATTTCATTAACACTTAATTTGTATAAAGTTCTTACATTTTTATTACTTATTCTTTATAATAACTCCTTGAGTTAAGAAAGGCAAGATTTGTTTTGTCTGTGTGAAGATGTGTGTGTCTGTGTTTAGAAAAGGGTCTCAAAAATGTCACATGTTTTTCTCAGGATCCTACTCTAAATAATAGAACTAGCATTCACATCTCATTCTCCTAACTACATACTCTTTGTGGTTTTCATTGTTTTACAGTGCCATAACTCTTTTAAAAAATGTGTTAAAATAATGTGTTGAGCCTATCTTCTATGTATAGGAAGGCTTGAGAAATCTGTGAGAGCTTTCACTTATTAAAATCAAATTTTTAAAAATATTTAATCTTATGAGTCACTGTGAAAACAAAGTATAGTTTTGGATGTTTCTATATTAATTTCCTCATCTCAGCTTTAACAAATGGGTTTGCAATAACAATTTCTACTCTTCCAGAACTTCTTGGATTCATAAATTATGTGTAATAGTTTTCCTCTTAGAACTACAAAGCCTTCATTTAAACTTAAGACTTTAGAAAATGAATTGGAATTGGTTAGTCCCAGAACTACTAAGTAGCAATATTATAATAGCATAGCAGTAATGCAAGATTAATTGGTCTTCTGTAACTTAAACTCTAATGTCTATTTTTCATATCATTACAAAATAATTTAATATAGACCATGTATTAATCATTAAGGCCAGTGCTGAGACACCATAGTGAATAGCTTGAGATACTTCTTTCACGTACCTTACAACCTAATCGATAGGTTGTTTATAAATAACTGGCATACGTTTGTTTGGTTTTTTTACTTTGGTGCCCAAACAGGGCTATGAACATATACATAGTTTATTCCTACAGTAATTGCAACCAGAATTAAACATAACACTGATGGTGAAGATGATGCAGGACCAGGGAACATTTCATTCTGTTAAATATAAGCTAACTATGAGTCAGGACCAACTTGATGGCATCTATGAAACACTTACATATTGGTATATCTCATATAAATACTAGTTTGAGAAGTGGCTAGCTAAATATGGTTAGCAGACTTTAAAGTCCAAGGATGACTTATATAATGCATAGTTTTTTGTAAAATACTTGTTTCCTTTTTTTTTCAGATGCAGAGCTCTCTTAAATCTCTTCGGAATAGCGCAGCTAAGAAAAGGGCAAAATTGAGTGGCAGTACTTCCGACCTTGAAAGCCCTGATTCTGCAATTAAGCTTGACTTGACTATAGATTCCCCATCTCGATCTTCCTCTCCAAATATCAGTTCTTACAGTGAAAGTGGAGTTTACAGCCAAGAATCATTGACCTCTTCTCTATCTACAACTCCCCAGGGGAAAAGAATAATGTATTTTCTTTCTTGGCATATTAATGAATTCTAAATATAACTTGTAATCTGGAGCCCTAATGTAATATTTGAGATAGAGGGGACCTAAAAGCTTTATAAAACCATCTACGCCCTACTTTCAAGGTTTTTAAAGTATGTTTTATAAGAAAAAGTTTACAGATGCTATATTGCTTAATTTGGTTTGGAGTGGGGTTGAAGAGAATAACTTCAACTGTAACTATTATCGTTATTTACCATCAAGTTGGAACCAACTCATGGCTGATCCACCAGCAGGTTTTCAAAGGCAGTTTAATCCCAAGAGAGGAGATTCACTGTCTTACTCCTTTGGAGAAGCTGGTGGATTTGAACTGCCTGGCTTGGAATGGAAGTACAACTCTTTACCATTTGGCCACCAGAGCTCCCTAATCTGTTAACTAGAGCACTTGAATTAATTTAAGACCTATTTTTCCTGTACCATTTTTAATTTACCCTAATATTCCGTGTCCTTCAGCTCTTTTTAATATTTTACTCTTTTTATCCGCTTACCTATATATAGCTAATATTGCTGCTAGTATTAGACTAAGACTTTCCTCTAATATATGGATAAAATTCTACTTGTCCTTATCCTATTATTTCGTATTCTGTGTGTTTCCGTTATTTGGTAGAAGCTGAAGAATCCATACCACAGTTCTTGGAACTCTCTCAGGAATCTCCTATAGGACAGTCTGGAATTAGGGAGATACTGACAGTATAATTTTCTGGCATAGATACTTCACTGACTTTTCCAGATTACTACTGTAACCTCAGAGTGTAAACACTAACCCTAGCCCTGATTTCTAGGCACCTTTGTTCTAGGAATTCAGATAATCTACTTTTTATTTTGGAACAAAACCTAGGAATAAAGTTGGTAGATCATAGGGTAGATAGATATTTAAGTAGCTGTTAACTTGTTTTCCAAGCAATGAATTCGGGTTTCAGTTCACTAGTTTATTAAAGTTTGGTGAAGCTAGTTTTTATTATTATTTTTATTTTATCCTAAACCATGTTCTTGGTTGTACTATAGCTATTAGAAGTAAATATTTGAAATTATTTTGCTTTAAATAAAACACTTAACATTGTCGTTTGTCAAAAATAGATGATATTTGAGCAATTCATAGGATTAAACTCAATTTTTGTGTTTAATTATGAGTGGCTTATCCTATGCCATGATTTTTTTTTCTTTCTATTTTTAATTTATATCTTATATGGGAATTTTTTAATTTTGTAACTGGCTGTTTCTTTGTTGTCACTGCACAAGGTAGGATAATATAGTTACAAAATAAAATGGCTACATGGACTGATGTAGAAACTAAGTTTACATTAAGCTATAGATACTGAAAATATTTCTTGTTTATGTTTTGCTTAGTCTTTCCCTCTTCAGGGAAGATGAACTATTATGGAATGTGTTCCTACACTTGAAAAATAAAAAAAAAATTGGTGGAGGGTAGTCATTATATATTGTTGTTAAATGCCATTGAATCACCTCTAACTCATGGCAACTCTGTGTACAACAAACAAAATGCCTCTCTGCCTAATTTTTGACAGCCTCGTAGTCACTGCTGTGGCTAAGCTATTGTTCAGCAGTGTGCCAGTCCTTCTTGCTGAGGTAATCTGTTTAGATATTGACTCTGCATAAAGAAAGTTCAGTATCCTCTCACTTATAGATTGAATTATCTTTATTAAAGTTAACACATTTAGGGAGCTCTGGTGGTATAGTCTATGGGGAGTTATGCTGCTAACACAGAGGCAGCACCACTGTGGTCCTTCAAATCCACCAGCTGCTCCAAGGGAGGACGATGGGCCATCTCCTCCTTTGTAGCCTCCCAAACACTGCTGGGCGGTCATCTCTAAGTTGGTTCTGACTCGGTGGCTGTGAGGGAGTGAATGATAACACATTTAAGTTTAGTGACTTTAAATCAGTTTTTCTAGCTTGATCCTTCCTTATGAATTTTGGCCAAAGAATATACTACTACCTAATTGGGGGCTTTCATCATGAGGTAAAGTGGGGAAGAAAAATTATCAAGAACCACTTATTTAGAAATTGAACTGTTTGTTTTTTTCCTAGAGAAATTACTCTTTTAAAATACTAACACTTGTTTCTCATCAGTCCCTCTTAAAAATACACCAGCTCAACTACTGAGAATTATACTCCTTTATAAAGTCTCTTTATAATACTCATCACTGGTTTATTGACAGACCCTTAGTGACATAGTAGTTAAAGCATTTTGCAGTTAACTGAAAAGTTAGTGGTTCAAATTCATCTTCTCTGTTGGAGAAAACTGCAACAGTGTGCTTTCTTAAAGGTTTACAACGTTAGAAACCCTATGAGTCAGTTCTCTGTCCTGTAGAGATGCTGTGAGTCAGAATCAACTCTAAACAGGGTATATTGGGTATGCTGACATTGTAATACTTGAGAATTTTAAATAGACCTCTTACATATAGATAGTTTTGTTTTATTATGTTAGGAAAGTACAACGAAGAACTGCCCAAGAAGAAGGTGATACTTGTCAAACTCAGTGTTAATCTCTTAAATTATGTCACCGTCTATTGTGTTATTAAATGGTAGAGTAAATATGTTCTATAATTAGGGATCATGTGATTTAATTTTGAAAAGGATTCTCTTTGGCCAGTTATTCTTTTTTTTCTGTTTTTTTTTTTTCTACCAGTTTATTTACAAAATTTGAATACATTGTTTTCAAGAACAAATTCTTTCAATTTCCCTCACCCCACCACCCATCAAATTGTACAACCCCATGATTAATCTCCCCCTCCCCCTATACATCCTCATCCCTCTGCTGCTACCCTCTCCCACCCCTTTTGGATCCTTGTACTCATTCTACAATAATCATTTTATGCAATATATGTCCTGTGGGACTGAGTTCGTTCACTCAGCAAAATGCTCTCCAGTCTCTCCCAAGTTAGGTAATAATTTACAAAATCATTACCCCTGCGTGCTGCATAGTATTCCATTATGTGAATGTAGCATAATTTCTCAATTCATTTGTTTGTGGTTGGACATTTTGGCTGTTTCCATGTTCTTGCGATGGTAAATAATGCTGCTATGAACATTGGTGCACAAATCTGTTTGTGCCTCAGTTCTTGTTTTCTCGGGGTATATTCCAAGTAGTAGAATAGCTGAGTCATATGGAATTTTTATGTTTAGCTTTTTGAGAAATTGCCAAACTGCCTTCCAGAATGGTTGTACCATTTTAGAATCCCACCAACAATGTATAAGAGTTCCTTTCTTGCTACTACCTCTCCAATATTTTTTACTTGCTGCCCTGTTAAACTTTGTTACTGTTACTGGAGTGAGATAGTACCTCATTGTGGTTTTGATTTGCATCTCTTTTAATGCCAGTGATTTGGAACATGTTTTTCATGTGTCTGTTTGCCATTCGAGTATCGTCCTCTGTGAAAATTCTTTCCATATGTTTTGCCCATTTTGTAATTGTGTTATCAGTCTTTTTAAACTTTTGTTGTAAGAATCGTCTGGGATGGTACTACCAAATGTTTGTTCCCAGTCTGTAGTTTTCTTTTCACCCTGTTGGAAAAAGTTTTTGATGCACCCATGTATTTAATCTTTAGAAGGTCCCATGCATCAATTTTATCCTCTTCAGATTGTGCATTTTTGGTTTTATTTGGCAGTCTCTTTAGACCTTGGACTAGCACTTCTAAGCTTGATCCCAGTTTGTCTTTTACGAACGGTACGGTTTTGGGCTTTAACCCAGGTCTCTGATCTACCTTGAGTTGATTTTTGTGTATGGTGTGAAATGTGGATCCTGTTTCTGCTTTCTGCTGGAGGAAGTCCAGTTTTGCCAACACCATTTGTTGAGGAGGTTATAACTTTGATGTCCTCAACCAATTATTTTTTGACCCAACCAAAAATTATACAGTATAAATTGGCAAGTTTTAATTTGCTGTGGAATTTCTCTTCTGAGTACCTAGGAATTGGCCATATATTTACAAGGCCGAACATTCAGAAGAATACTGATAAAAGATGTTTTTAGCTATGGTTTTTTTATTTGTTGCTTCTTTATTATCTAAATGTTTTACTGGTTATAAAAAACTGAAAATGAAGGGAGCTCCAGTGGCCTAGTGTCAAGACGCTGCACTGCAATCCCAAAGGTACACGGTTCAAATCCACCAAATGCTCTGCTGGAGAAGGAGGGGCAATCTCCTCCTGTACCAGTCAGATCTGATTTGACGGTACACATAAAAATAATACAATTTGGCAAGCTCTGGTGGCCTAGTGGCAAGAAACTGCACTGCAATCCCAGAGGTGCACGGTTCAAATCCACCAGATGCTCTGCTGAAGAAGGAGGAACAATCGCCTCCTGTACCAGTCAGATCGAATTTGGCAGTACACACATAAAAAAATAAATA